AATATTAGAATGATATTCATTTTGAACCAAAGCATCGCATACGCTTAGGGTGCATCACCCCCACCGCCTAATATGGTTTTTGCGCGTCGCTTCGACCCCTATTCTAATTGAGCTCCCGACGAATTGCTTTTCAATATTTTAACTCTTTATTGTAGTATTATAGCAGTTGTAACAGCTTGGACTTTAAGGTAATGTTAAGTATTTGTGACAGTGAAAGCTTTATAAAAAAATTATAGGTTTCATATTAGTTGAAGTTTTATTATAGTACACTGCAGTGTTTATATCAGTCAGGGTTTCGTGATAGTGTTATAATCTTTACAATTGTTTTCGTCCTCACTTATATGTAATTTTTTAAAAAATTCAAGGTTTTTACTCGTCGACCGCAAACTTAAGCAGTTCCGAAAAAAGCAGTTACAGAAAGGTTGTAATAACTCCCGACAGTATACAGCATTTTTAGGTGCTCTATACCACATTGCTATAAAAAGAGTCTCAACAGGTCTCAAGAGGACACTGGTGATTTAGGCATGACTTTTTAAAGCTCATTGCAGGAGAATTGAATTCTATCGCAGAAAGAGAGGCTTTAAAAACTACTTGCTTTTGCAAACTCCTTCTAAAAGCAATTAATAAATCTTCAATATTAGAAATGTTTGTTTTTTGTTATAAGTTTATCCTTGTTCATAAAAAAAGCTTTAGCCTTCCACGCTGTGGTCAATAAACAAATGATCTGATGTGTAACCAGCACAGTGGCAATGTTGTTAGAGAAAAGTGTAAGGCCTTTATTCATCAGCAACAAAAAAAAACAGCCCCTCAATAATATCCTTCTCTTTAATAACCAATCTGAAATTTCAAGTTTTATCAAGATATAAAATAGATGATCGCCGTATGTAGTGAAAATGAAAAATGGTGAATCAAGGAATGAGATTTATTTCTGGTTTGATACAGCAAAGCCAATCTTCTCCTCGGTGACGTAATGCATGTTGCAGTACTGGCGGATGAATGGATCGCCGAGAATCCAAGCCGGTCCCCAGCCGCCAAAGTCGAAGTCAAAGATGCCGATAGCGCAAAGGGTGTCGCTTACCTGCAGAATAGCAAAATACATTTATTTACCCAAAATCTAGAGTAATTTTTGAAAAGGGTTTGGTCAGACTGAAGACTAGTTAGTATTCCATAGGTAGGAGTTAGTGTAGAGACAATTGTAGCTTAGAAAAACTTGCCTTTCTGGCACCCGCTCATGTAGTTTTAATTTTTACCTGAACAACGTAGTTGACGGGCTCAATTTCATAAACTTTTCCACCAATGGTGAGCTTGATGTTACCATTCTTCGCAGAGCAGTCAACGAGATACAGTTGGTTGTACCAGTCGTACTAAATAAAAGTTTTTGCTACCCAATTTTCTCTCCCTCAGAATAAATTCTTGTAAAAAACATGTTTAATTTGGTATTAATTTGCGCCGCTGACAAATTACCTCTCCTCCCAAGGCAGTAGCAACGCCCTGAACTATGCTAGATGGTCCACCAATGAAAGATGTGCCGGTATCAGAGATAACATCCCAGCCTTTTTTACTGCTGTATGAGCCAGCTGCGATGGCATCCATCTTGAACTGCCAGTATGTTGCGGAAGTTAGCTTCACCGTAGCAATTTCAGCTCCGCAGTTTTCTTTATCATAGTCACCATACGTGAAAACTCCTCCTTTAACTCCTTCTTTCATACCCTTAGAAAAACATGACATTTGTAAGTTCTATATTTATAAAGAGAGTTCTGTCTGGGGTTAAGTTTTAGTTTGCAAAGTAGTATGCAAATAATAAAAGTTTGATCGGCTCTTCTTTGGTGGAAATGACATTAGCACGAGAGCTTTAAAAAGCTGAGCGCAACGTACTCTGTGAGCCATCCATACGGTAAAAAGTGGCTTATCAACCAATTTCTGGTTAACTGCGTTGATGAACGGGGGTACAACGAGGTCATCAGCTAGTGCTGTGAATCCAAGGCCTAGTATGCCATCAATAACGTCTCTAGAAAATCCACTCATACTTGTAGCTTGGCCGAAAGTCTGTTTTGGAACTGCTAGTTGCTGTTCTTTCACACCACCAAACTGAAATATTTGAAGTTCAGCAACTCACTCTTACCTCAAACGCTAAAAATTCTTATTCATTACTGTTATGGTGTCAGTGCCCAGGAACCCTTTAGCATTGGATCCATCACCATACGATACGCTCCATGTACGGCCGTCCTTCGTGTATGTCTCGGACTTGGACGAATCAAATACATGTTTCTTCTTGCAGTCCGTTGTTGTGCAGCTAGAATCGGGAATCCAAAGGTTCGAAGACCCAGTATCTAGAACCACCAAGAATTCCTGGTTTTTGTGGCTACCAATGGTTATGTTACCGACATATTCAAGGTCATCGTAGTCGTTCACCTAAAGCAGTACTACGTTTCCATCTATAGACTTCCAAAAGAGAAAAAGTAAACCAAAAGAATTCAAAAGAATTATATAAAAATCTACTTCCTGTTTTCCAACGGCCTTTGACTGGAATTTCCGAACACTTCGAAGAAGCATTTTTTCTTTCAGGTGACTTCTCCATAAGCCTGCTCTCATCAACTTGACTCTACGACTTTCAATTCGGGTCAGTTGAATCTTAGAAACTAAGGCAGTGGCACAAGCCACAATTCCAAGAAGGATAAGTAACTTCATGCCTGGTTTCAGAATAGGTTCCTAATCACTACTGATGTCTTATATACAGTCATTAAGCTGGCCCCAAAGCGGACGTTGTGAAAGTGCACGTAGTGTACCCACGCACCATTAAAAATTGGAGGACATTAGACTTTTACCATTTACTAGCTGGATCAGTACTGCTGTTTCATTGTAAGGTTCCTGATCATCAAAGAACATTACCATCTAAAACGCACAGCTGCGCCCGGTCTAAGACCGCCAGGAAGAGGTGTGACTCTGAAGTGAAAAGTGAATTTTTTTACTAACGGAACAGAGAGCAGAGTAATATGCAAAGTACTTTCGCCCTAATAAAAAGGACGTTCACTGTTAAAGGAATGTTCAACGTACTTTAGCATTATCAAGAAGCAGACTTCCAGTGTTGTTGATCTATAGGCTACTAAACTTCTTAAAGTCTGTGGGGAGCATTTGCTGGTTGAAAACAAAATGTTACATACAGTGAAAAATTTGTTTAAAAGCAACTTTTTAAGGGAAGTTTTGGATGTCTATAATTGTTATTCGGGGCTGCTAGTTCCTTGTTTTACTTTGACAAGCAGAAATTGTCTTAAAAAAAGCTGGGAAAGTTTATCGGAAATCTGCAGTTGAAAGAACCGACTATAAGTTACTTTGTAATTTCGACAATAATTTAGTCTCTTTATTAAGCAGTTATTAAAGACTGCATAGCACTTGCTGATTTTGTTTATTTTTAGCTGCAGCTTGAAAATCTCTTAACAGTACTTAGTCGATAAAAGCTGATATGTTTTGTTCAAGTTTTGTTCACCTTGATAAAAATCTGTGAGTTATTTCGCTTAACATTTTTATCTTACCTGCCTACATTTTCAAGAGTTAATATAAAACTGATGCAGTGAAAGGCTTATTCATAAGGATTCGCTTGTTTATCTATTAAAACAATTGTTATAGTTTTAATACAGATTTTTTAAACCTTACCAAATATGAGAATTAATAATTTGGTCTAAATTTTTGGTTTACACCTTCTTGTTCAGGTATACAGACGATTAACAAATATTATCCTAAATTAATTCAAATTCTTTTATTGTTTAAAATTTTTAAATGTTATTTTACAGGCAAAATAATCTGTAGTTTAAAGGAGGTGTTTAATTTAGTCAAAAAAAAAATAAATCTACCAACTGAAACTGCATTACAAACAGTTCATCGGCTAGAAAGCAATTATCTCTTACAGATTACTGAAAAGTTTTTCGAACTTTTGTAGCTTATACTGGTCTTCATTGCTGCAACAGACAATATTCTTCGACAGCAGATTCGGTATGCATTCATAAATAATAGCAACAATTTACCGTGCTCAAAACTTTCGGTATCAGCCTCAAATTTTTTACTGTAGGTGATATAAATTTCTTAACCTTTCTTGGGTGTCGCAGATGTCAACCATTTACGTCATTCTGATAGGTTTTTTTTTGTTTACCTACAATTTTTGTGCTTTTTTATGCATCTACCGCTTTCAAAGACGTCATCAATCTTTCCTCTTTACTTTCCTTTGTCAAAAAATTTTCAAAAAAAAAAAAAAAGACCGGCTACTGAGCAGGTAAATTTTGGCTTTTTAAGCAGTGACATTACAACTAAAAATAAGTAAATGGAAAATTAGTGCTATTAATATTTTTTAACAATTAGCACTTTTTCACGTCCAAAAAGTTCATTACTTCATTACCTCAAAAGTAAACATACCTTTTAAGAATTACATTGTCACATACAATTTATAAACCAATCTCACTGTACCCTTTTATTTCGCTCTCTCTCTCTCTCTCTTAATTTTCTGTGGGAAAGGTGAGGATGTTTTAACTTCTGTTTAGTACCTCTTGCTCTTATTTTGGTATTAGAGACATTAGAAGATGAAATCTTGACAAGTGGTAAGTTTCTGACATTGTTGCACACCTTAATAAGCCTATTTTGCAGGTTTTAGAGAATATTGTTGTTTTTTTTTCTAAATTAACTTTTGTTACATATTTATAGACCTAAACGTTAAAGTTTAGCCAAACATTTTGTAAGATTTAGAAGTATCTTAAAACATGATCTTCATGGACAGTGCATTAAGAAAATTTCTTTGTAAAAAGCATTTTCTGACTTGATGTCGACAAAAAATTGGTAGTCAGTAACTATAAACTACAATGATCTGTATCGCTGTAAAGTAAGAGCAATTTTTACTTATAATTTACAACCAATAAGTCAATAATGAAGCATCTAATAAACACATTTATTCGGCATTAGTTCAGTATTTTTTAATAAAGCGACGCTAAGCTTCAGATTTTTTATTTGTAATCAAGTCTTATACAAATAAAATAAAATGATGATAAGACAAAGATGAAAGATCAGTTTAAGCAGGAACTTCTTATAGTTTTTTTTATAAAAATTCACCGATTTCTCAAGATTGACATGGTAAGAAAAGCTGATGTAATACCAGACCCGGAACACAATTGGGTACCAGTGACAAACACGGGACCAACGGTTATCAATGTCTGTTGAAGTGCAACTCGTAATAACAATAATAATACTTTTATTGTTTCTGAAATAATGCGGTGTAAAGTATGTTATGCTTTATTGGCTTTATTATTTGCCAACCTTAATATTTGTTTTCTGCAGTGAAATGATCGTAAATTTCAGTTGAACACTGTAAAACTCAAAAACACTTTTTCTTGCTAAAAAAAAAAACTACACCGGCACTAACTGTCATTTTGAAGTCTCTTTAAGTTTTTACAATTTACAAAAAAAAGCTTATGTTTTTCACATAGTATTTTTTAGTTATCATTACATTGGTAACAGGGGAAGGTTTTGACAGCTTTATTACCACGCTATTTTTTACAACTTTAAGATATACATACAAAGTCATTTGAGCCTACTTTCGACATGACGCCAGCAGAATAACAACTGTCTGTCAATTAGCGTAATATTTTAGACTTAGGTATTTCTTAAAACCAAGTTGTAATTTAAGCTTTTGAGATCAAAGAACAATATCTTAAAAAGAAAAAAAACTATTTAATCCTATTAAATGGCATTCTTTATTCACCTTAAAAATACCACAAATCTATGCAACTATGTTACATCGAAAAAACATTAGCAGTTTTTAATTTATGCAATAAATTATACTTTTTACGTTTAAATTTAGAATTCTACACATTTTGATAAAGAATGTTTGCTGACTATTATAGTGAAATAAAAGATTAAGGAATATCTGCAAAACAATTTGACCTTTCCATGCACTATCGTACTCGGTAGTTAAATACAGCGTTTATCCAGAAACTTGGCTACTGATAAAAATTGTACAAATACATCTTCTTATCCGGATTTATTAAGCATACTTCAAATGTACAGCAAAAGAAATTATGCAAACAGCAAATTCTAAATATCGTATGTTCTATCCAAATGTCGATAGATGATCTGACAATATTTGTTCATCGAATTACTGACAGTCTTTTACCACATAGTTCTAATTTTATTGATTTATCAAAAACTTGTACATTAATATGTTGTACAAATAATAGTAATAATGATTCATTCATTTCTGAATAGTTTGTTCATTGGTCAGCCAAAATAAACTATAGTTTTCAACTGGTGTATGATTAAGAAGTGTGTAACATAATAGCAACAAAATACACCTCGACTCTCTTGCAACATCAAAAATCAAATGATGAAACGGAGAAAATAGATTTTTTATTGCTTGAGTTATTTGTTTAATACAAACTTAGTGAATTGCAAAGACAATTGCTGTATCTTAAATTACTACATGAATGGTGTTCTTTTTAAACATCTGTGCTTCTTCAACCTATGAATGACCGCCAATTGAAACCTGCACTTAAGTTTTTTTTTACAGCAAAACCTTTTTATATTTGAAATTAAATACAGTTTTGTTGCGCCAACGTTGAGGTATCTTTTGCAGAATCAGTAGACGACCAAAATGATATAAATGTTCGTTGATGGACAAGAAAACCAATACAATGATATATTTTAAGATTTCTCGTGATTGGGACGCTGCCATCAATAAAAATGATTTTGACTCATTGTCAGGAACAGTCTTCACTCTCCACTTGCAATAAAGTAAATTAGAAAAGACTAAAAAATTTACTACAAAAAAGATTCAATGTTTTTTGAAGCGACAGTTAATTTTATAACCAAGCAAAAACTTTCGTTCAGTGTACAACGCTTTAGACGTGTTGATAAAAAGCTGTTTACAACTGCGTACAATTTCCTATGCAGTGTAAAAACCTAAATAATTCAAACAAGTTTCATTGCATAAAAAATATGATACATATGATAAAAAAAACAAATCTTTGTATGTTTTGAAACTTTCTCAGTTGACACTCTGACTATTTAACAAATTGGTTTGTAGACGACGTCATATTCACATGCTCTCCGAACACCACAATAACCTTCCACTTTTTCACTAAAGAAATTTCTTACAGTGAAATTTGCATAAACTTCCTAATAACTGGTGTCAGAGAGTTTTCAGCAAGGACATTAGTCAGCTAAAAAGGCATATAGAGCGGTGTTCTACCTTCTACCGAACTATCCAAACTGGCAGTTAAAAATTTACTTTATTTTTGTAATCTCTCAAACATTTTGATGTTCCAACTGTATTAACCTTCTTATAGATGTCAAAATTTACAAAAATCTATTTGATTTTAAATAGTTAAACTTTTTTGACATTTCACCAAAGCGATAAATTACTGTAGAACCGTCAAATATTTTATGGTAAAACAATAGGCGGTTGAGTATATAGAAGATAAAATGTACAATGTAAACATTTAATGCATGAATGCTTTGATGTAATTAGTTTACTGAGTTATTCCTGAAATAGATAAGTTGCAGTTTTGAGCACACTTGATAAAAAGCTTTTTTTAAACATTGATGTAATAATTGGAAATTAATTTTATTGCACGGCTCATAACCTTTAATTGAACTTTTCTGCGGTAAATGATTTACCCTGATAAAGTTAGCTAAAAAATTAAATGCTTCAC